TGTATATAGGCTCTAGTAACTGCATAAATCGAAAGTCTCACGATACACAACACTTGATGATGAATAAAGGATCAGATTTAGAAGATTGTGCTGAGATTGAAGCACTATAAATTTCTTCTCCGCTAATCTAGTTTAGTATAAATGAGGAAGGATGTCCGTTTTGCCTTAATGAGAGCTTAGTATATGTTAAGGTAATGTAAGGTAATGAGATAGGTGTTGTTAGGCTGAAAGGAGGATATCTTGTCGCATGACTGCAAGACTGGCTGCAAAGATTCCAGATAGCTTGTTTTTATGTCAGGAAATGTGGGACGTTTCACAAAGTCAGTATCGTAAAGTGAGTGTCGAGTACGTTCCAGGACGACTCGACACTCACACGACCCGAAAACTCGATGTGAGTCGTCGGATAGTCCGGAGGAAAGGGTCAAAAGTACAGCCGAAGGTCAGAAGTAGTCTAATGAGTCATGGCAGACCAGCTCCGCGTACAAGAAGAACGGTAACAAAAGCTTTCCGAAACAGAGATGTCAGGTTATCGAGGAGAGTCCGAGGGGCGCAGGAGTTGTCAAGACAGTTTGATGTAGAAGAGGAGTCAGTCAGTATTATCAACTTTATCAATTACCTTCAGCGCCCTATTTCTCCGCCCGCCACCGAGCCAAACAACGGGTGGCTTAACCTTTGACTAAAACAAATGAACCCAGAACTATTAGAGAGGTATACACGAGTTCCATCAACGAGCTAAACGGCAGTCACAGAACCAAATTGATGTCCATTAAATGATACTCTCTTGTGACCCAACTGACCTTTCCCACAGTCTCAGTAACCTTCCTCATCTCCCACAAAGCTACGGTTATTGAGCGCGATTAAAGTTGTACTGAAAGACTTTAAATGAGTAAACAGAAAGGCGAAGGAAGGACTCGAACTGTGGTCCCGAGATTGACAGGTCCACAGCATTACTCCTAAGGACCTTCTAACAGGAACGTTTCACAGAAAGCACTGCTGTTTATTCATTTCCAGTCGTTTATGAACTCAGTGAGAGTACATAGACTGTGGTTTTGAGGAAAGTGATGATATATATACTGGCGGTTGCTGGACTGTGGGAAAGGATGGTTGGTCGTAGACAGTGGCTTCTGATGGAGACAGGACACAGCAATGCGTTTATATATATATATATATATATATATATATATATATATATATATATATATATATATATATATATATATATATATATATATATATATATATATATATATATATATTAGGACACAAGTGACACATTTTATTGTGGCAACGTTTCGCTCTCCAGGAGCTTTGTTAAGCGAAACGTTGCCACGATAAAATGTCACATTAGTTGCACTTGTGTCCTTTTACTTTACATATTGTCGGTAATTCTACCAATACATATGCAGTTTTACGATATATATATATATATATATATATATATATATATATATATATATATATATATATATATATATATATATATATATATATATATATATATATATATATATATATATATATATATATATATATATATATATATATCAAAACTGTTCCACTGTATATACTTTATTATTTTCCGATTCCCATTTGATTATGCAAAAAGCTGTTTCATAGTAGGCCTGGCACTGTAGGCCTTTGAAGCGTAACTGGGTTTGTGAGTGTCAATGGCAGAAGTTAAACAATGCACTCATTGTAAATATTGTTACGTGGACCATAAGTGGAAGTAGTTTATGCTTCGGTGTTCCACATACGTTCTGTTAATCAGTTTATCGTTATTATGCATCTTTAATCTAAAGATTCATGTTTGACACAACAGTACCCTGGAATCTTAGTGCAGGGTATACACAATACTACAGATGGATTACTAATCTTTGGCCCACTTTATGGACGTGACCTATTTCACCCCACCTATTATTGCTGCATCATTTCGCTTCTTTCACTGTCTCCGCTACTACCCACTAGCCATTTTTTTTTCTGGAAACTAGAGGATGTCTCTACTATTAGATTGCTAACTCTCTATCTCATCTTCTGGGCCTAACCTACTCCCACATGTGACCACGTCTACACATTCTGCATCGTTTCCCCCCTTCAATTGGCTCCCCTACAAAATGCTCCCTTTTCATATTTCTGTATTAGACTGATAAAGCCTCCGGTGTCTTATTAATCATACTTACTACTGATTGATGCCTACATATAGCTTTTGCATGCTGGCTGGCTTGATTTTCCACCACGTTTGCAAAGTGTGGGGCTGAATATGGAGAAATGTAGATGAGTGCGTTATAGTTTGAGTAGTTTGTGTTGCGATGTATGGGGACTTACTGTTCTTGTGGTTTTAGTGATAAAATCTGTTTTTATGGCGGAAAATTTTTGAGCGCTTAAATTTATTAGAAATTTTCCAACACACGTTTTTCCTGCTGTATTTACAGCTTGTGATATAACATCTATGTTGAGGTGGAGGTTTTGGAGGTTTTGTGAAGTTACATATCGACTTAGGGTAGATATGTAACTAAGGGGAAGTAGTGTAACTGAGGGGATTGTATGCAACTGAGGGGAAGGAAATGTAACTGAGAAAAATATGTAAGTGAAGGCAGTTCTTTGTATTTTACCTTCACTCCGTAACTTATGTTGGTGTTTTTTTTTCCTTGTAATGACTCTTTTGAGCAGTACTCTGGGAATAATTTGGGCATTTAAGAATGGTCTCTGTGCAATTGCTTGTAAATTGTTGGCCTGAATATTTGTGACATTTGCAAGACTTTGTGCATGATTTGAATTGGTTGAGCATTTTCAGTTAGTACAGCAAAGAGGGAGTGGTACACAGGGTTCAACTCTGCACAGAAAGTTTTGAATTTATGCAATGTCCTGGAAAGCAGTGTGAACTTGTGAACTTACTCCATTCATCATCTGCGTCAACTTTTGTATATTGTATATATAATGATCAATGTCCAGCTTTATTTTGATATATTTGTCGATAAGACCGTGAATGTATTAGATTATATCGTATGTAATCTGTAGCCTACTTTCTACTACAACCAGATTCATAGTTTTGGATTTCTGTGATGTTAGCAAGTTTTTACGAGACATCGTCTCTCGCACACACAATAACTACTAGTAGTCTTGTGTTTGCTGGGTCTTAGATCTTAGCTCATAGCCTTCTTGTCATGCAAGATAAATTCCTTTGTTTCGGGATCATCTTGAAATCTCAAGAGGATTTCATCAGTGGATCATCTACTAGGCTGCCTTACTGGGCGGGCAAAAGCTTTTTGAGGTTTCCCTGTCAACTAAGTCATCCTTAAAATTTGACTGTAAGAGATTGAAGTGGCTGGTGCTTATTATTTCAGTGCTCTTGGTGGTCTAAATCTTGGTAATACGAGATGAAACTCCGCTTACATTATCCCTGGTCATCAAGATTCTTGCACTCTCCTCTCCTCCCGCTCATCTCTGTTGAGTCACTCACCCTCGACACAAGTCATTCGCCTATTACTTAACAACTACTGAAAAAACATATCACTCACCCATCACTTCACATTCGTTCAACGATGATACCGGTCATTCACCCATCAGTTGTCACGCAGGTGTTATATACCATTGATATTTGGAAAGATGTATTTCGGTGGATGAATGATTCAGGCAAAGTATCCCCGTGTTACATAACCCCAGCCTCGTACTTTCAATGCACACCAGTCCTAATATCCGCAACTAAAAGTATGCAGCTTATCTCCCTCAAAAGCTCCAGGAGCTACAATTCAACCCTCGTAGGATATCTAGAAGCAGGAGATCAACACCTGTGAAAAAGGTGTCCCGTGGCTCGGTTGGTAGCCCACTCGGCTCACATATTCTGTCCGCGGTTTGATCCCCGGCACGGGTGGAAACGTTAGGCATGTTTCCTTACACCTGCTGTAAAAGTGAGTTGAGTAAACAAAAGAACCCAGGAAATTTAGCTCAACATAATCAAGACGCCTAGACCGTAGCTCAAGAAGCTTGACAGCCTAACAAGACCAAGGAAAGTTGGATCAACAGCCTTACGAGACACAGGAGCTGTAAATCAATAACTTTAAGAAACTCAGGAGGTAGAATTCAATCCAATCAAACATTGTAAAAAATATGAAATCATTTATACGAAACTAGTGCAAAATGTTTGTAGAGTTTTAGACCTAAATTTTCACATTAATAGAAACCAATAGAGTAGTAAAGCTGACGACAGTACAGTAGTTCTCCTCTGCAAGATGATGTGTTATTTAATTAGTACATAACATTTAACAATATAATTAAGAGATGGAATAAGCTAAATTTTCTGAAATTGTTGTGGAGTTTAACTAAATATCCAAGTTTCTTAATGAACCAGAAAGGTAAATATGATACTCTAGATATTTGTTAATAGAATTGAAGAATTATCAAATATACTGGAAAAAATATTTGTATATTATTCACCTAAAAGGCACCAGCATTCGAAGTTTAAATCTGATACAAAGTGACATTCTCAAGAAGCATAAATACTAGTTATCTAATTTATTACATAAAATTTGCAAGTTTGCACCTATATGGCTGAAACTAATCTGAAGCTGACAATAATTAAGATACACTAAAGTTATAAAATTTATGACGAAAGGCATTCATGAACTTGGCATCTACACTGCCCAATATCTACCCGAACTTCCCTGTAAAGTACACTGTCGGAAGTCGATGAGAAGTTATTGTTATCGCAGGAAAACCCTGGAGGAAGAAAAACGGGAAATCTAACAGTTCCTATAGGTAGACAATTCCTTTTCCAGGGATACCTAAACATCTTTTACATTAGCACATGTCATGTAACCATACGTCAGTATATCATCTTCCAACATCTCTCTCAGCCTATTCATGTATCCCTATTCATGTATACCATTTCTTGCTCCTTATATCAGTATTACGCATTTTAAGCCTATGCCACTCTTAACACTCATTTACAAAAAAATTTCTTGCACATACGTTATTCCATGCACTCACACACATTTCTTACTTACTTTTGATCCTTCTCGTCGAGTGGTTGATCGTCCTTGAAGCCCTGGGAGCCGGGCACCACGATAGGGGGACTACACGACTTCATCAAGGTAGAGGACAGGCCCATGTCGGTGATGTCTCCGCCTGGAGTCAAGTCACCCTCGTTATTCGCTGCTAGGGGGGAGGAGGAGGAGGGAGGGGTTGAGGGGGCTTCGCTACAAGGGAGGGGAGGGAGGGAGGGGGGGACGGCTGGATCTCTCCCTCTGGCTTCTCACTCTCTCCCTTCTTGTCAGTTCTTTCCTGTCTCCATTTCACTCCCAATCTCTACTTTGTAACTCTTGTAAACACTTTCGTTTACTTATGTACCGTATCGAGGACGCTTATGATCCCTCCCTTTCTGTGTCTCATTACTACACCCAGTTCGTGGATATCCTCGACAAGTCATCCTTCAGGAAATAAGGTTCATAAACTTAAGATCTAGTCTCCACGATGATAATCCAATAAATGAACTTAGCCCAGTTCCAGATTTTTTAATTCTTTTACTAAGAAACTAGTTAAATCCTCTACTGCCAGTCTTTAAATACAGTAAAAGGCCTCCTCCCTCCCAGCTACCAATAGGCAATAGATAACAATGACATCTTTGTTCAAATCAGAAAAAAATCTTTCAAACAAGCTCTTCTCAAGTAAATAAATCTCCCCAAATTCCCGTAGCTAAACACATTTTTCTCCTTTATTCCACTTTATCAAACTCAGTAAACCTCACAGATCTTTCACACATTTGTCAAGGTAAAATATGGGTCACAAATCACTTAACAAATTACTACCTCATCTCAGCTCCTACGTATTCTCCTCACTTTTATTTCAGAGTTTATTTGTATATTTATTCTTATTATTTAGCTTTCACAAGCTTCATTCGCCTCTGTAGTTGTTACTCACTCGAAGACAGTTCCCGAGTAAATTTATTGACCGAATGCGAGTGGAATTTAACAAGATCCTAATTTATGTCAAGAGAGACAACATGATATCACTACCGAATGTATTTGTGGCTCACTGTAAAGATCTCTTTCTGCCCGAGAGAATAATGACTGTGAGGTTGGCAATGACTACATCAAAGAAGGTGTAGCAAGTTGGGAACTATGTAAGTCAGCTCACCAAAAATCTTCAGTAATCTATAATGAAGATAACAAAGGATTAAGTAAAAAGGTTATTACATCTAAAATCTTTATTATGTAAGCGAATTTTATACACGGTTTTAAATAAGCCTAATAGTATACAAAAAATTATACTGCAATAAATGTTAAAAAAACATCCTTCACTATATGAGACAGAAACACGGAAAATTAAGTGAGTGTAAATATTTCGACCCACCTCACTGGAATCCTCTTTATCACAGGCTAAACACCTGTAGTGAAGACAACGCTATATTAAGCGTGAGGTCTGAAACGCACTGGTTTATAAATAAACCTGTAGATGACTGGAACAAACATCTCCGCAGCCTCATGGAGGCGAAAAATTAGATCCAACAAGTTGTCGTCGCCTTCATGTTGAAAGCAAGTAGATTCTAAATTAATTTAATGCAAATGTAAACTGACCAAAAATTTTAACATTTATGTCTAGATCAGTGAAGATTATCTGTGAAACTGACAGATATTCGCATATAGGGAAAAAATACGATAGGTGAAGTAATATTTTAACAGAACTGATTAGATACAAACAAATTTCAGATGTGAATAATATCCATCACATTTTCTATATTAAAAAAACTGAAACTAAAAAAATGAAATAATTGACTGCGATGTAAGATACTTTTACTGTTAACAAATAAATAAAAAATATTCCTATATGTTTTACTGTTTATTTATTGATATAATTATCTTTATAATTTATTGCTTAAAAATTCTGAGCTTGCACGTTTTATATGTATAAGTATATTAAGTTAATTTGTGTAAATTATTTTTGCTGTAATTTAAATAATATCTAATTAATTATACATAAAAATCATAAAATTATGGAATACACTTAAATATTAAAAAAAAAATGAATAACTTTTCAATAATAATTTCTATGTAATCTCTAATGCAGAAAAAGATTACTAAGGATTGTTGGTGAGAGTGAAGCGCTTTCGTGATTTCTCACATTATTAAGGAATAATACAAATAATAGATCATAGAAGACTTACTAGGCTGAAATATCACCTCACATATGACCTCACACATGACCTAACACACTGAGCGTGGGAGTGTAGTCAGGATTCGGTCAGGTCACATGTCAAGTAAAATTTATTAGTGACATGTCAGGCATACCTTAAATTCCTCATAAATACTACTTATTATAAATTAATCTAATTTATATAACCCTGAACTAATATTCATATTAAAACCAGTACTATTTTCTATGGAACGATTCGATTATATTTCGGTCAACTGTAGACCTGCTTAATATAATCTCGGCGTTTTGAAGATCATTTGGGTGGTTAAAACCTCTAACATGATTACACAGAGCATTAAACTCTTGTCCAGTTTTAATGCCGTATTTATGTTGCTGAAATCTTAGTTCACGGTTTCTTCCAGTTTGACCGTAGTAAAGTTAATTACATTGTTTACCCGGGATCTTGTAGACACAGCTATCAGCGTTTTGGGGGGAATTCTTAATGAGATTTTATTTTACTGTATCAAGATTTTTAAATACATCTTCGATTTTCAAATTCTTATAAAGAGGTTTCCATAGTGTAGTAGAACTAACATATTCATGGTTGAATATGTTTCTTGATCTTTTTTTGTTCAATTGTAAATTGTATTTTTGGCAATTTTAAAAGATTTGTAAAGTATTTTCGATCATTCGCTTTTTTCATAAATGTGCAAAATATCTTTGCCTATGAACTCTGGACTGCATAAATATCCAGAGTTTTAAAAAACATAGATGAGAATACTGACCAATTAATTCCTCCATGATGTGAAGAATAATACTGCACATAAGAGTAGTCAGTTATTTATTGGTTTTCTATATACTTTGAATTCAAAATTTTGGTTCCCTTTAATAAATGAAAAATCTACAAAAGTTAATGAGTTATTTCATTCAAACTTTATGGATAGAACTAGACTATATTTTTCAACATTTAGCATAGAACTCATCCACATACGGGAAGAATTCTATTAAGCAGACTAGTTTTAAATTGCTTCATGTATTAATTGCTGAGAGAGGATTTCCCATTGCTATACCAGACTTCTGTTTTGCCAAAATCAGAGGAAATTAAACTGAACATAACGATATATATATATATATATTATATATATATATATATATATATATATATATATATTTATATATATATATATATATATATATATATATATATAATACATTGCCAGAAGCACACATTAACCAGATAACTGCTGCAGCACATGGGCGCTTGGCAAACCTGAGAACAGCATTCCGGTACCTCAGTAAGGAATCGTTCAAGACTTTATACACTGTGTACGTCAGGCCCATACTGGAGTACGCAGCACCAGTTTGGAACCCACATCTGGTCAAACACGTCAAGAAATTAGAGAAAGTGCAAAGGTTTGCAACAAGGCTAGTTCCAGAACTAATGGGAATGTCCTATGAAGAAAGGTTAAGGGAAATCGGTCTGACAACACTGGAGGACTGGAGAGTCAGGGGAGACATGATAACGACATACAAAATACTGCGTGGAATAGACAAGGTGGACAGAGACAGGATGTTCCAGAGATGGGGCACAGAAACAAGGGGTCACAATTGGAAGCTGAAGACTCAGATGAGTCAAAGGGATGTTAGGACGTATTTCTTCAGTTATAGAGTAGTTAGGAAGTGGAAAAGTCTGGCAAGCGATGTAGTGGAGGCAGGAACTATACATAGTTTTAAGACGAGGTATGATAAAGCTCATGGAGCAGGGGGAGAGAGGACCAAATAGCGGTCGGTGAAGAGGCGGAGCTGAGTCTCGACCCCTGCAACCACAATTAGGTGGTACACACACACACACACACAACACACACCACACACACACACACACACACACACACACATATATATATATATATATTATATATATATATATATATATATAAATATATATATATATATATATATATATATATATTGTGTGTGTGTGTGTGTGTATCCTCATCAGCAGAAGAGGATCCCAGAAGGGGATCGAAATATACAGAACAATTAATGTTGTGTGTTTCTGTCTCCATGTGGATTATTATTAAGCGCTGACAAACGTTCATTGCACTTTATTTATCCCTATATATTTTTATATAAACACACATCGGCCGTCTTCCACCAAGGTCGGGTGACCCGATAAAAGAAGAAACACTTTCATCATCATTCACTCCATCACTGTCTTCCCAGAGGTGCGCCTACACTACAGTAAAAAAAACTGCAACATATCAACACCCTCCTTCAGACCACAGGCACTGTATTTCCCACCTCCAGGATTCAAGTCTGGCTAGCCAGTTTCCCTGAATCTCTTTATAAATGTTAGTTTGCTCACACTCCAACAACATGTAAAGTCATAAAAAACATTTGCCTCCACTCGCTCCTATCTAACACGCTTGCTGGAAGTCCAAGCCCTTCGCACACAAAACCTCCTTTAACCCCTCCCTCCAACCTTACCTAGGCCGGCCCCCTCCCCCGCCTTCCTTCCATTACAGATTTGTACGCTCTTCAAGTCATTCTATTTCGTTTTATCTTTTCTAAATGTCCGAACCTCCTCCTCAACCCCCTCCGCTCGATAATACTTTTAGTAACCCTGCTCCTTTTCCTAATTTCCAAAGTACGGATTCTCTGCATAATATTTACACCGCACATTCCCCTCAGACACGACATCTCCACTGCCTCCAGCCTTCTCCTTGTTGCAACATTGACCACCCACACCCCTATAAGAGAGTTGGTATAACTATACTCTCATAATATATATATATATATATATATATATATATATATATATATATATATATATATATATATATTATATATATATATATATATATATATATATATATATATATATATATATATATATATATATTTTTATTTTATTATTATCACACCGGCCGATTCCCACCAAGGCAGGGTGGCCCGAAAAAGAAAAACTTTCACCATCATTCACTCCATCACTGTCT